TTCGGAAAACAACACACGCTTCCGATGGGACTTGACTTGCCCTTGCTCTTTTTTTGAGAAAGCCGAGACAAGTCGCCTTCTGCCCGACGGACCTGACCAGCCCTCCAGTAATTTTTGAACCGTGGCAGGTTTCAAGGTCTCCCCCTCACACTTCTTTTGCCCTCAACTCCCTTCCCCAGCCGACATTCCTCGTTTTTGTTGAAATATCGGACCCTCCCTTTTTGCGTCCCCCCCTCCCCGCACTTCAATAAACCGGCCCGAATCAAAGCCGCTTGGCCTCGACGGCGGCTTCTGATGGAGGTGGGAGGAGAAGAGGCAGCCTCGACGAGGAGCGAGGCTTTCTGTGCAGCCGGGAGACGTTGCGGCCGAAATCTGACAGATGCGAAGGGCACCTCCCAGCACAAGAGCGGAAAGTCCAATTAAAAGGGGAGGGGGGGCGGCGGCATAAAGTGGCTGCGCCGGGTGCGTGGTGGGCCGGCTCTTGACTGGCCAGAGACGGAGCCATTTTCTATTTTTAGGCGGCGGGCCTTGCGCTCGAAGTCCTCCACCCAGCCCAAGGCTGCCCGGCAGAAACGTGGTTTCCCGGAGATGAGAGAAAGTTAAGGTGAAATAAACCTCTCTTTGCTCCAAACCGGGACTTACAAAGGAAGGCTTTGCCCCGTTCCCGCTCCTGAGTTCGACTTGTCTCTTTGAGGCAAACAAGGGCGAAACTTTTTCGGGATCACAGAGGGTCGGGGCCCGGCGAGGTCGGTTGACCAACCCATTAAACTAGGCTGAAACCGAATCCAAGCGGTACCGGGAAGGTCCAGGAGGAGGCCGTGCCTGCTGCCCGAACTTGTCCTCTGCTAACTTTGGGAAAGGTGTGGAGCAGGCCGGGCGATGAGCCATAGCTCCGAGATCGACCCTTTTTCTCGGTGCCACCGCAGAGGGACAAAATAACGTGTGTGTGTGTGTGTGTGTGTGTTTGTGTGTGCGCGCGCGCTCATCAATCGCCAGACAGGGGGTTGGACTCCAGGACCCTTGGGATCCCCTCTATCTTTGCAAGTCTACGGCGGATCAATGAGATCTGTCTCCTCGCCCTTGAAATCCAAGGCAACTTCTTGCGCGCGCTTGAAGGCGATTAGTTAGTTGCACCTTTCCAAGCAGCTGCTCTCAGGGTACTAAGAAACGTCCCTTCCCTTAGTTCAAGGAGACTTTTCCCCCCGGTAAATAATAAGTGGTGTCAAGGATCGCAACCTTTGTGCCTGACATCTGCACGTCCCTAAGAAGTTCAGAAGGGCGTCTCAGCTCTCCAAGGCGGCTAAGCGACGTGGTGCGTGAGGCTGCCCGCAACGGAGGGGGGGGGTCCTCCACAGGCGTGCCTCCCGTCCAGACTCGAAGCGGCTTCTCTTCCTGTCTCTTTCAGGGCGAGGGCGGCAGCTCTCTGGATCACAGATCGACCGACATCGCCCTTTTAGCCCGTGTGCCCCCAAAGCGTGGGTCCCCTCCAGGCCCACGCCCAGGGCAATCCCGCCGCCTCCGTTGCGGGCAGCGAAGCCGGCCCTGCCTGGGCGCCGAAGGTCGTGCGCTTGCGTTCATCGGCCACCGGGCTGAGCATCCATTTTGCGGCACCGAGGAGTGGGCCGCTGCCTGGATTTACACCTGAGGCGTGAAATTAACTACCCGCAGCTCAGCCGGGAAAGCCGAATGGAAATAATTGGGCTGCACTTAAGCGATTTAAAATATGGGCTTCATTCGGCCTCGTCGCCAATCAACCCCCAGCATAAATTGGTTTTCGACGCCCCTTTTTCTCGAGGCTCGTGCGCGCGCTTTTTACCACAGAAGCCTGTTAAGGCTGCACATCCTAAACGTATTTTTAACGAGAAAATAAATCCCATTCAGCAGCTCAGTGGGCCTCGCTGAAGGAATCCGCCACCGCGTAGGCAGCATATCTCGTGCGCAAGCCGGCCCTGATTCGGAAGGGAGTCCCATTAACTTATTGCTTGTTTAGGAGGGCAGTCCCCGGAGGGCGAAAAGCATATTGAAAGGCGGGGGGACTGGGGAAACTGGATTTGGGATTAGACGTCGCAAGGCAGTTACCCCACAGGTTGCTGTTTTTGGATTAAAAGAAAAAAAAGAAAGAAAGCCAATTATTTCTCCTCAGTCTGAGCCTCTAAAAGACCTCTAAAGTTATGTGGATGAGCACAGCGCAGTGCCTTTGAAAAAAAAAAACTAAATAAATATCTATGTGATCTCTCACTCCCTGCCTGCCATACAGATGTATTTCCACAGGCGCACACGCAAAATGTACCTCTGGAGGTAGCTTGCTGGTCACCGTTGTGCTGCGCGGAAGGCCCGGTCCGGAGGAAGTATTTGGATTTAAGCATTAATTTAAGCTTGGTTTAATGGCTCGTGACCTGGCTTGCCTGCAACTGACGCCAGATTTAAAAAATGGAGAGAAGAAAAGTCTGAGGCCACGTTTTCTGCTTGCGGATCGCTCGAGACTCGGAGGAGCTTTGGAGGCAGGTGATGGGGCGCAACTGGCAAGGCGCAAGGCAAGTGTGGGCCGGGCGGGAAGGTCAACTTCCCTGAGGCGTGGAAGCCCAACTCCTCGCCATTCCAGGCAAAGCCAACCTACAAAGGGAGGCCCCCTCAGGGATGTTCTAGGGGTACGTGAGTGTCCATGTGAGGGCTTCCCGCCCCCCCATCCTTTCCCTGCCATGGTGGAAGAGACTGAAGAGGAAAGTCGAAATTGGCGGTACAGCTGTTTCAAGAGGCCAGTTGCCCTTCATTCTCTCCCTCGGCCCCCGCCCGGTCCCGTTGTGACAGGATCCCAGCACTAATCGTGGATGGAAAACTTCCCCGTGGGACAGGGTGGCTCAGGGTTTATTACGCGTCCTCGTTCTCTCGGCCACACGCAAGCCACCAAAGTTAGCTTTTTTTAAAAAAACCCCTACTTGGGCCAAGCTGGTCTTCCGCCCCCAGCCTGGACTCGCCTCGCCTCCCCCAGCAACG